AATGCATACAACATTTTTACAAATGCAAATTATGCACTTAACTTCGAGAGGAATTTCATAGGAATATATTAAATCTATGCATTTTACAATCAGACATTTATGATAAAAACTCCGACTTTTTAACTCCTCATTGTTCATGTTTTTTAATTTTATTTCTGGCTTCCTGATAGTTAAAACTTTTAGTCCTAATTACAGTCAATTTCTATATAAAAGAAAAATTGTGAATTTCGTAATAGGAAAATTTAATTTTGTACACATTTTAATACTGCTCATAATTTTACACTGATACAAATTTTACTTGGATATTTGCATACACTAAGACCAATTTACATTAGGTGTACACATTTTATTTTATTTTATATCCGTCGATCAACAGCCGACCCAATTTTGGGTTTACGACTACTAATGTTCAACTCCTTAGCCTTGTAATTTTGAACCAATCCAGAAGACAAGGAAACTCCTGGATCAGTACCCCCAGAGGTATTGATTTGTTATGGGAACATGGAGGACTTTGCAACTTGACAGATTTAACGTGCATCAGTCACTATTTACTACATTATTAGTCTTCGGCCGGAGGGGATCGAACCCGCGAACTCTTGGACATGGGTCCAGAACCCTACCAACCAGGCTATCCCGGCCTCTGGGTGTACACATTAGTATTTTGCAGAGCGTCTCAAAACACTTAAGGGGAGAGTGCGTACAATTTTTTTCCAATGTACAGGACAGATTTGTTTTCCGCTCTTCCAAGGGCACCCTATTAGCTGAACCAACTCTGCTTCCATAATAAGAACAGATAGTACAGACAAAGAAAGAAAAAGAACTCCCATGCTTAGTCCGGGTTTCGAACGCAGGATTTTTCTGATGTGAGATCAGCTCCCTGACCACTACACAGTCCGATAGGATAGGGGTACATTATAAGGATTGAGATATTACATTGACCGGGATAGCCTGGACGGTAGGGCGCTGGACTCATGTCCGAGAGTTCGTGGGCTCAAACCCCGCCGGACTAAGACTCCCCGTGTAGTAAAGTGACTGATGCACGATAAATCTGTCGAGTCGCAAAAGTCCTCCACGTTCCTATAACAAATCAATACCTTTGGGGGTACTGGATTGGAGATCGATCGTTCTCTGATTCAGGCCAAAATTACGATCTGTGGATGAATGAATGGATGTATGAATGGGTCCGCCCTATAAACGGGTGTGACGTATGGTGTGGCAGAAGTCGAATTCTTGGCCATAGATGGCGCCACTGAAAAACAAGAACAATCGCTCCCCCTCTGCCAAAACAGGCATACGTCAACAACAACAGCAGATATTACATTAATTCATAACTGTTGAAAAATTTGATTGGACATGAAATAGATTTATTTGAAACTATTTTTATTACATAGCGTGAGTACAAGTTGCGTACTAGATCAATTCAGCTATTAATGTTACAACAGACTAGAAGACACAAGACGCTATGCACCGTCGCACAAACGTATTAACATGAAGCGGACTCGTGATAAATTTGAAGTGAGGAGTAACAGCCTGAGCTGGTCGTCGGACCGGAGTCAAAATTATATGGTATGGTATTCTTGGCATGGCTGTTGAATAATAGAATTCTAAAAATAAATGGGGCTTGGTGCTTCGCCATAGTTGGGTTATGGCACATAATAGCTTTGAGAACCACGACCGAAAGAAACCAATGCTTAGAGAATAAGTTAACGATGGTGGCATTTAACATCAGCGCAGTTCTGTTCGATACACAAAGGAAAAATATTAGTTGAATGCTCAACTACCTAGCGGCGTACCACATCATTTCCTGTCCTACACAATTCTTTTTTTTTTCTTTCTAATTATATACTCTACCTTCCCTAAAAGTTGCCACATTTCTTGAGAAACCTCATTTATTGCTTATCGTATCATAACATGGCCAGGTAAATGGCTAAATGTTAGCTACCATTTTCTTCTTCTTTTTATTAAAGAATTATCAACCGTTTTTATGCAGTATCATAATTTTAATCTCTTTTCCACAGCATGATTATTTCAATAAAATATTTAAAAAAATTGCTCTCAATATTCCCCTGTATAAAAAAAAGAGCATCGAAACACTATGAAAAATTTCTGAATATTTCTTGTGCTCTCTGCATAAAGATCTAAATTTTACTTTTATATTAACATGATAATAATAATGTATAATAATAATTTAAGGCTAATTAGCCTATAATTTTTCTCACTGTAAATAAACAAAAAGCAAAGCAACAAAATTACGGACGAATTAAAACGGGAACAACGAGGCCTAATTGTAGAGTCAATTTTTTATTTATTTAATTTTTGTGGGTGTGTGTTATCTGAATATACATAAAGGCCTATATTTTGCTTTTATTTTAACATATAGTTTTAAACTTGGTCTCTTTCATTATTTAAATATATACTTAAGCTCTAAGCTAATCCACAAAATTATAGACGAATTATTTTGGTCACAATGGGGTGTGTGTGTGATTGTAATGTCAATATTCTCTTTATAATAGAAGAATAAAAGCTCAAGAATTAAACATACATAGCCTATATCTTCCTTTAATATCAACCCATATTTTCGAAACTTGGTCAGATATATCATTATACAGATATATATCGTTAACATACTTAACTACCTCGACCAGTGACTAAATTATAAACGAATTAAGGGCTGCACAATTAGGCATTATAGGGTGCGTCCCAAGCGATTCAGCAGAAACAATAAAGAAGTCGGATTCCTGTTAAATGGTCGGATTACCCCAATTCCGTGGTATCGTATGATGCGCTTAATTGCTAGTCCCAATCCGCCAGACGATTTGAAGTGTAACATATAAAAAGCTAAATGTTAGCTACCAATTTTTTATTTTTCTTACAGAATTAAAAAACCATTTTTTTTTACATTTCTATTACAGTACGATAATTTTAATAAAATATTTTAAATTATTGTTCTCAATATTCCACGGACACTTAGAAAAATTTCTGAATGTTCCCTGCATATGAATAAATGCCTATAGTTTTCTGTTATATTAACCTATCATTTTTAAAGTTTGCCCTATTTATGAATTCAGTATGAGTAAACATGTGGCCAAGACGCAAAACAATAGATGAATTGCTAATTCATTTATTGTTTTGAGCTAATTTAGTTCTGGTTCTTTGTCTATTTTGTACCAGAACTAATTTAGTTCTGGTACAAAATAGTCTCATTTTAATATCTATCTTATTTTGTGTTCTCTTCATATACATAAAAATATTTTTTATTATAACTTTCAAACTAAGCCCCCTTTTATTATTTTAATGTAAGTGAACACAAGGTTATTCTGCAAAATTATAGACAAATTAAATCTCGTTCAAGGGGCTTAATTTTAATTATGTCAATCTTTTATTTACATATTTTTCTGTTTGTGTGTGTGACCTTTGCTTGTACAAAAAGACCTATGTTTTGTTTTTATACTTGCATAAAATTTTCAAACTTGGTCCCATTTATTATTCTTATATATTTAAGCGCTAGTCCAAGCTGCAAAATTATAAACGAATAATTTTGAGAAAATTGGGCTTAATTGTAATATTAATATTTCCTTTTATAATAGAAGAATATAGACCATGTTCAAATATAAATAATGGCCTATATCTCCTATTAATATTAAAATATATTTTTGAAATGTGGATATATTGAACATTGAAACAGTGATGTGAAGCAATCTCTAATTTTTTGAGAGCGGCAGTTTTGACCTTTCAGAGTAACAGCTTTATAATTTCGGTGACATTTGGCTCAAATATTTTATCTACAGATATAATAAAGAGAGAGATAAATATTATATTTATCTGTCTTAAAATTTTTTATTTATTTATAAGGAATAAAAAAAAATTCGTGTTTAAATGCTTTTAAATCGAAAACAAAAGGTATACTTTTAAACTATTTATACTATACTGAAAAGTGATCTTAACTTTAAAACAGACAAAAAGTTTAAAAAAAAAACATTCTAACTAGGCAAGATTTGTCTAGATTAATGAAATATTAAAAAGTCTGACTGCAAACATTTTCAACGTCTCCCAATATAAAACCAAAACAAAATCTTAAAAACATGATTTTTGTAATTAGGGACACAAATTATATACATAAAACATGTTACAAAACATTTATATTTGCTGCTAGAGATAAAAATATACAATTTTTGCAATATATTTTTTTTAATTACTAAAAAACCTATTTTATTGGAAAAACTATAAAAATTTTTTTTAGATAAAGGATGAAATGGACTGGCCATCTAATGCAGTCACCAGATAAATGTATACCTAAAAGAACTTTTTATGACTGGATAACCTGAGAATTCAGCAAGGGGAAGACTCAAACTCAGATAACCCGATTCTATAGATAAGGACTCCTTCGTAATAAACTGGAGAACTATTACTGAAGAGAAGGCCAGGAGGTACTGCGACTACCCACTTAGGGTAGACGCAACGATGATGTTAAAACATATTTTGTAGGAAAAATATCGAACTTTTAGGTATCTCAAACATAATCATTTTTCCTAACTTTTGGGGAGTACATAAATTTCGTGATATTCTCCTGACTTTTCCGGATTAATAAAAGTCCTTAACTGAGCCCTATTCTGTGCCCACTGTGTCATAGATTGCCATTTTACCTCAATTTCATAGACAAAACTCAATCTGACAGTCAATTATAACTTATGAAAATATCATATCACTTCATAAAAATTATTATTTATATGACAAAAGAGCATTTAAAGGACTACCTTAATCGATATGAAACTGTAGTTAGCAATCAAGATTATTTTGCAATCACAACAAAAAATAAATGTTGTAAGTCAAATATAATTTTCTCATAAATAACTAAAAAACAAAATTCCTAGACTGCATAAAAGCCAGTTTCCTGCAATTTAGTGAAAAGTGATTGTTTCGCAGTGACAAGCAAAGATGAGGTAGATTGTCTTAGTTATCACACCACAGTGTCGATTACTTCAACTAAATGAAACAGGCAATTTCTGATGGTATTATTTTATTTTGCATAGGAAAAAATTACACATGACTTACCATTATCAAAATTAAATAAAAACAAATTTTTAACAGTACGAATGGGGCAGGAGGAATTTATGAATAGGTTTTCACTTATGTTCCATTAAAGAAAAATCTAAAAACTAAAGATTATAACATTTTATGTTTAATTACAATGAAATATCTCTTATTTGAATATAAAACGTGCAACAATAGTACATCTTTTCAAGTAGAAATACTTTTATTTCATAAAATGATAAAATGGGTGTGATAATTCACAAAATAATTATCTTGGAATATGATGAAGTAAGTTGTTATTTACGTCTCTGATATCAGAATTTACGGCAACAATCTTCGTATAAGTAAAATCAGGGGTGATTGTGACAAAAAGTGAAAAACCATGAATTTTGTATGCAATAACCTAATATCAATTTATATGCTATACATGTTTGACATAATTTTTTTAACTAAGATTTATAATCAAGTTACCTGCCAATGAAGAATAACACACCCTTGTAGTAACTAATTCAATAAAAAGTTAGTTCTTACAAGAATATCAATATTGGAGTATAAAATACGAATCAAGATATTAGATTTAAAAAATTTGAAAATACAAATCACAATATTAGATTTTTAGATCACGAATCAAGATGCATAGCTTTAAAATCACGTATAAGTACGAAAATCAAATCTGAGTACGAATCGTAATATTGAATTTTAAAAACGAATATGAATCGCGACACTAGATTTTAAAATTGCGATGTTGGACTTTAAAAATACGTAAATACAATCGCGATATTGATTTTAAAAACGCGTAAATACGAATGACGATATTGAATTTTTAAATACAGTGTATATGAATCGCGATATAAGATTTCTTAGGTCTCGCGACTTCAAATTGCAACATGTAACTTTTAAATCAGGAATGTAAGAACATTGATGTTTCATATTGAAATCATTTTATTATGAATTGTGATATTAGTGGATTCCGGAGCAGTTCCAAATGGCGAAAATCTGACAAACCAAAGGAATCCAATATGAGAAAGAATCACAGGCATGTAAACCTTTCTTTTATGGGATTAGGCGAAAGTTTCAAAATTTAAATTTTAGATTAATAACTAATAATCAGACGATTTTGTCTGATTATTAGTTTTTGATTCCTGGAGGTCAGCAAACCAATGATCTTGAGATACGTTTTCAATCTTGGGATGGAATTTTGTGTTCCCAGTTTTTTGACTTCAGGTCTAAATGAAAACCAGAATTCTGGGGTACAACTGGAATACAATCACCCCTGTAAAATTATCTGTGACTTCAAGGTACTCAGACAAAAATTGTTATTGAAAAAATTCAGCTTAATTTAGCATACATGTATCAAAATTTGCAAACAGGATATTTAAAAAATGTACACAAAAACTTAATGTTGCTTAAAACTAATTAAATTAAATTCTAAACTATAATAGCCTGTAATTAATTAATTGTATCATTTTAACTAAACAGTAGTCTACCAATTCAAATTTAAAATTATGATATGAAACAAAGTAAGAGATGTTTTAAAAGGAAAAGGGGTGTTCAATAAAATAACTCTGCTTATTTTTTTAACACTCTTCTTTTGCTTAATTTAAACATGTTTTCATTAAGTAAAATAAAGAAATTAGAAGAAAAAAACACATTTATAAAAAGGATGAATTTGTAGTTGATAATATTAAAATAAAATCTCTTCATTTCAAAGGGCAAAAAAAAAAAAAAAAATCTGTGATGATCTGCAGTGCTCACTGTTGTGCTATAGAAAAATCAACGCAAATGACAGAATATCAAAAATTGAGATTTTTACATATTTGGCATTTTTGTTCGATAAGCTACTTATTGCAAAAGATTTTCGGTTTTAGCATTAGCAACAGAAAGAAAACAGTTGTCAAGCTTCTTTTCTCAAACCCTATTGTGGGGCATTAATGCTGTTTTTTCGATTGCAGAACAATGTGCTGGCTTCTGCTACCTGGCTCACACAACCAAAACGTAAACAACAACAACCAAATGTGATTCTAAATGCAATGGAATCTTAGCATTTCTGAGACATCTGAAATTCTGGGACTTTCCCAAAAAACAAAACAATTTTTCTTCAACAACAAAACAACAATAAATAAATCAAAGTATGTATTTAGACCTATTTACAAAAATAACATGGGCATGGGATTCTTTATACAGTAGTAGAAAGATACATATAACAGTCAAAATGATGAGTTACGCACACCAAGATGGTTATTTACAGGTGAGAGCGGATTATTCTATTTCTTGAATAACCACGCTGGATTTTGTATTGCCTCTTACGGGATCTTTACCCTTTGCATCTTCTACGGTTTCTTCAGTAATCACAGGATCTGAGTTGTAAGGTTTTTCAAAATTTGCATGCATCTGAAAATGAGTACCCCTGTTCAAATTGTTTGGCATAGCAGTTCTGTTAAACATCACGTTTGGAGGAAAACGTAAGTGTCCCAAATTAGCCATGTTTGCTGCAAAAGCCCTGGCCGTGTTGTTCAGAGGAAAGCGGGCTTGGAATCCGGCTGTAGGAAATCTCTGGAATTGATTCAGGTTGGCAGCAAATGCTTGGGGTATATGCTGAGGCTGGGCAGTTCTTGCTTGTTGCTGCTGCTGAGTTTCAGCCCTTATATCATTATGAACAAGCTAAATGGACAAAAAGACAAGGAATAAAAATTATAAATTTATGAGCAATATAGCATAGAATCTATTACAGAAAACTAGAACAATTTATAGGATTAGCAGAGTGCGTAGCCAAATTATTCAACAAAAAATAAGCACCTTTTAAGCACTTCTAAAAATATTTTTAAGCACTTTAAAAAAAATATCATAATTAGGTTCGGTTGGAGAGTTTTGGACAATTGACGATTTTATCTTGTTTTAACCATCATGTCTAAAAAATAAAATAAAATCTTTGGCATTGTTTTTGACAATTGTCAAAAATCATGAAAATTTGAATAATGAAAAACGAATGGCGTTTTCATATGCTCCATATTGAAAATACGCCAAAATAGATTTGGGGTTGAATTAATTATGAAAACGTTGAATAGAACAATGTGAACTGTGTCTTTTTGCATAATTTGTAGCGAAAATCAAAATGGTAAAGGAGAAATCTCATTTTTAAAAATGGAAAATTAAACACTTTTTAAAAACACCCAATGAAAAAAGCACCTTCAAGGGCTTTTAAAAAATGAAAATAGAAAATAAGCACATTTAAGTACGTTTTAAAAAACCCTACGCATCATGTTAGAGCATTGCTTCCAACATGGATAGAAAAAAATCCAATAGATTTTACAAAATTATATAGATTTCGTGATAATTGCTGCATAAGGTACTATTTGAACAAAGGGAATTTTATGGTCATCAAAACAAAAAAACTGCAATACTTTACAGTTATGATTGACATTAAATGAACTTAAAATTTTTTTTGTCGCAAAAAAGCTTTTAATTCAGCAGATTCTTGTTTTGATTAAATAGTTTAATAAAATACACATAATTTACTTTTCAAAACAGGTTTCATTTTTAGTGATAAAGAATGTGAAAAGATAAAATCATACTCATCATAATATTGATAATAATCATCTGAAATTATAAAAAATAGATAGAGCTTAAGTTCAATAAAGAAAAAAAAAACACTCAGGAACTGAAATAAAACGCATTAGTGGATGATGGTTTAAGTTTGTGAGATTTGTCATCTAAAATCCTTAATGAGATTTAGTTATTAGTTAGATTTTTTGCCCCTAAATATCATGTACTAGTTTTAAAATTAAGAATATAAATTTTTATTTTAATGGATTTAAAGAGTTATTTGTATATGAATACAATATTTTTTTTATTTTTGCTATTTTCTTAAAAGAAAATTATAATGTAATTGAATTTTTTTAACAAATTTATTACTATAAATTCCAAAAATAAAAAAAAAATTTCTAAATATTTAAAATAATTTATAACTCATTTTTTTTTATATGCAAACATTGAATTTTGTAACATTTTCCTGCATTTTAAAGTTTAATTCATTTAAATTAAAATTTGTACGGTAAATTAAAAAAATATTTTGTTTTGGATTTTTTAATGCAATCTAAGGCAACTTTAAATTCTCAATTTCCTTGATGTGTACTTTTAAAACACTAAATTTTTTTGTTTTGTACTTCTACTGATACTTTTTACTCATTACTTTTGATTAAAGTACTTGTTACTCTTCAAAAGTAATGTTCCCATATATGATCATACTTGATTCTTTCAGATAGCACATATTATAACAATTGCTTTAAAAAAGCTTTTCTAACCAATCATAAGTCTAAGTCCAGTCATATCAAGTTCCACAAAATTCATGAAAGGATAAAATCTTACTCGACAATGCTTACTTGTGAGCAATATTAACAAATATTTACATCTGAGATTGTATTCATATATACAAAAAGATGTTACAAACACACACAAAAAACATTTCTGACTTATTTTACCCTAATTTTTGTAATTGCATTTTATTATTAAATTATAAAGTTTTTTTTAAAAGTAATTCATAGAATTTATAGTTTTTTAGTAATTTAATAAGAATAGTACAGTTTTTTTAGTTTTAAAAAATAACATCTCATTTGAATAAGAATTTGTTTTAAAAAATGTACACAATAATAAAAATTTATGAAATTTTTTGTTTTACATTAAAAGATCAAAAGAATAAGATAATGATGCATTTGAATTGAAATGTTTAAATAAGAAAATAATAAAAATTTTCTTCATTTTAAGTTTTCTAAAGGTGTTAAAAACACAAATAAATAAAATAGCTGGCTTTTATTTTCGAAAAATGTTTCTTTTTATTAGAGTTATTTTTATAATTTACTGCATGAAAATACAGAAACTAAAATTAATATAATAAGTTGCAATAACCAAAACAAATATATATATATTTAGCAATTGTCCTTTAACCCAAGATTCATAAACAAGCATGGGAGATACACTATTTATAAACATTTGTCAAACAATGTAAGAAGGTATTCTTAACAAAAAATGCTGTGGTTACAAAAAAAACCCAATTATTTTCATTAAATATGTAATATTTTTTTATTTTAATATTATGGGCGGTATTATCACATTTTGCTGGGGAGAAAACCATACTAATTCTTTCCAATATCGCATTTTGAAAATCATCAAATTAAAAAAATAATTAAAAATCATGAAACCTTAGCTGCAATTGCCAAAAAACAAATTGACGACGAAGTCACTCGAATTGGACTCTTCAAAAGAGGTTACTCAAGTTTGCGTTTCGTTTCAAGATTTGATTGTAGTAATAAATAATATCGGATTTTAAAAACCATATGAAAGTTGAAAGCAATAATTGCCGAAAAAATGATAAAAGTGTTGCCTTAAAAAGTAAATACTCGAACGCACGATTCGAATTTCCCATATCGTCTGAAATTTATCAGGATGATTAGAAATCATGTGAAAATCAATAACTGCCAAAAATATAAATGAACCACTCTGGATTTATGATACTATCAGAGTAAATTGGACGACACAATAAGTGATTATTTCAATGCACAATTCAAATTTCTGCATAAATGAAAACAAAATTTTTTTCTTCTTAAAAGAAAAATCTTTCTGCAAGAGCTCTGTAACGTTCTGCGACTGCGTATTTATACCTCATTTAAAAATAAGGCATTGGGATTCGCATTAACGCTATCTAAAAATTATGCATCGCGATTCATATTTTCGCAATATAAAAATTGCTCATAATGATTCGCATTTAAGCGATTTAAAAATTCTAAACCGCATTTTGTATTTTCTCATTTTCAAAATCGAATATCGAGTTTCATATTTACCCGATTTTAAAATCCCAGATCGCTATTCGTATTCACGACATTTCAAAATCAATTATTTGCTAGTTTTGTAAGAAGTAAGTTTTTTTCTTGAATTAGTTATCACAAAAGTAACAGTTTTCCAATCGACGATTATTAGTACATATAGGCATTACAACATCAGAGAAACTGGAAGAGAATACATTCAAAACTTACATTCTGTGCTTGCAAAGAATGTTACATAGGCAGGTAAAGTAAGAAAAAATAGGATTTGTCAAAAGATGCTTGAAAAAGGGCTAACGACTAAATTAATCACCAATCTGTTTGTGTCAGTTTTGTTATTACCACAAGAATATCTAAAACTTTTCCAAACTGGTGCACCCCTCATTCACAAGCTGCATTACAAGCAATTTGACCTTGTAAAAGGATTTTTTTGCTTGTTTTGTGAAACATGAAGCATTTGCAACAATCAGATATTTAAAAATAAAAAAATAAAGAACTAACATAAAGATATAGCAAACAAAAGCAATCACTTAAAAAGTGATTCAAATTTTTTTGTTTTTTTGTTTGGAAAAAGAGTTAATTAACTCAGCTCCAAAATTTTAAAAGAAACTGCAGTCCGAAAATATACTCATAATTCATAATGTCAGAAGAGAGGTTAAAAATTTTGAGCCTTTTATGTTAACTATACTTTTTGAGTATTTCGCCATATCTTGAGAACTTTTTAAGTGAATTGAAAAACTTATGTATGCAAGTATAAAATTCCTTTATCCAAAGATAACTCCATGCAAAAAACTAATTTTAAGAATTATTCATTATTTTATTTAATAATAATCAAAATTGATTTTAATTTTAAGGTACAAAATTTTTTACTTTTTTTGCTATTTATTAAAATTATAATTTTATATAGCAGAATACCTCAATCGGTCAAATCCTTAGAAATTGAAATTTGGAAAAAATCCTTTCATTAAAATTTGATTACTCAGGAAGTACTCAATTGATTTTGTTCAAATTTTGTACTTAGTCAAATAAAATTACATTCTTTAAAATGACGTAAAAATGCGTATGACTTACAATTTAAAATTTTATTGACTATTATTAAATAAAATAACAAAATATAATTATTAAAAAATATAACTACTTTTTGTCTAGAATTATCTTTGGATAAAGGAATTTTAAGGAAATCACTTGTAAAATGACTTTGATTATAAATACACAAAGAGAGATGAATTAAAAAAAAATAAATAAATTACTTGTTGCACTCTTGCAAAGTGATGGTGCAACTCAGTTATAACTTTATTCAATTCATCTAGATACTTGTTGACTGATGCTGGAACAGATCCTTTGACAAAGTACTGAAATAAAAAAACAAAATCTTTCATTTTAGAATTACATTTCAGATAGAAAAATTTATTGATAGAAATTAAAGGGTGTGTAGCCAAATCTTTCAACAAAAAATAAGCACTCTTTAAGCACTATGCACAATAACAAAATGCAAAATAATTTGCAGATTTTACATGATCATGATAAAATAAATAGCTTCTGACAAAGAACTTGGTTATAATAGTCACCATAAAATGATAAAGAGATTTTTCGGTTGATATCAGAGGGTGGAAAATGAAACCTGAAATTGAGAATATCTTGCAAAATGCAGGAGAAATGTTGCACATGACAGGGCAATAATTTCACCGAACCCAGCTCAGTAGATGCACAAGCGGACTCGCAAGTATTTCATAAAATATGTAAGTAGCTTTCATACGCTATGGACTGACGGTAGGTAGAAATAGATAGTGGCTGAATGAATTGTGAAAACTTTGGACAATGTGAAAAGCAAACATCGACATGGTAAAAAAAAAAAATCTTGTTTTGGAAAAGGGAAAATTAAGCACTTTTTAAAAACAATCAATGCAGAAAGCACTTATAAGGGATTTTAAAATACGAAAATAAACACGTTTAAGTACTTTCAAAAACGCTATGCACCACGTTAAGAATCGCAATATTAGCAGATTCCAGGTAAGTTTCAAAGATTCAAAATGACGAAATTCTGCAGAACCAAAAGAATCATATTGGCGGAAGAATCACCTAAGACATAATTCTTCATGTAATTGGAGCAAGAATGTATGTAAACATCTTGTTAACAGGATTTGGCGAAAGTTTCTGAAAGTTTTTGATTCGAGGAAATCCACAAGTCAATGATCTAGAGTAGTGTTCCCCAACCTTTTAATCACCGCGCCCCTGTCAACGTTTGATAATTTTACTGCGGCCCGCTGGGGGGGGGGGGAACGTTGATTGTTTATATTTTAGATTATTTTGATTTATTCATTTTAATTTAATTGCATTTAAACATGCCTTCAAAATAAAATACAGTTACACCAAAAAAATAAATAGAAAGTGATTTAACATTTTAACTTACTAGAACATTAAATCAATGAGAACCCTGAGCTTGTTTTTTTTAAATGAGACGGTTCCATCTGGGGGTAATCGGAGAAAATTATACACTACAAACATTAAAAAATGTATGTCACTACCTTCGGGGGCCCGCTTTTTTTTTTAAATAAATAAAATTTTAATGGAACGCAGATATTTTTAATTTGTGGTACAAACGTAGGAATTTAAATTCAGTTTCAATGAAATGGGCAGCCTGGTCTAGATCTGGTGGTCTAGAGATATATGAAATCCTACGATATTCGTGCAAAAAACGCATCCACTGTGTCGAGTTTTTAGACAGGCAAGAATAAGACGAAAACCGGGAATTCCGGGGTACCCCTAGAATACAATCACCCCTGTATACAAAACTCTTAAACATGTCATTAGAGATGAAATATTTACTTACATATTGGTCAATAAAAATTATAAAGTATTAGTTATGCACAGTTTACAAGTAAAATGTTTACAAAATCAACAAAAAAAAAGGTAATAATTTTTGTTCACTATAAGAATTTAAGTTTAGGTTTATTATATTAATTCTAATTTTTTTTTTTTAAAAAACTCTCGTACTATTAGTAATTGTTCAAATTTTAACTAACCTAAACAGAAATAATAGATTTTCTTATTTGTTAACACACTCTTATGGCACAATTTGAAACTAAATGAATAGGAATTATATAAAATTTAAATGCATAAATATATTGAACATGCCTTAATTAATAATAACCATAGCAATTTTGTAATATAAAAGGAAACTCAAATGTTTGGTTACAGCTGAGACACAAGGATGCAATTATACAGTATTTCACTCTAAAACGGTCCCAAGTTTGAAATTGAGATTTAGCTAACTTTAATTTTAGATAGATAAAATATCCATTAAAAAAACTAACACCATTATAATGTTTAAGAAAAGATTTACTGGGATAAGTTTAAAGGGTTACTATTTTTAAAATTTATCCTATTTTACAGGGAAAAAAAAAAAGAATAAATATATTTGTATTTGGAGGTTGAACTTTCATATCTCAATCCCTGACTATGATTCTTAATTGACATTGTCAACTATATCAATGCATTCAAGCAAAATCAAGATGGCTAAAATGTACATAAATTAATAAATCATATTCTCCCTAAGTTTTATCACACACAGTTTGGTAATAGATTAATACCGGTAATAATTTAGTATAAGATTGAATACATTTAAAAAGACATCATAAGAGTAAAACTCAGAAAATTTTACTTAGCCTGTTTCTTTTCTTTTTACTATTCAAAAATATGTAAATTTTAACTATTTAAAAATGTGTTGAACAGGGTGCGCAGTCAGATTTTTCAACAAAAAATAAGCACCATTAGTACTTTTGAAGCACTTAAAAAAGATTTTTAATAAATTAAAAAAAAATCATAATTAGAATTTGTGCAATAATAAAAATTATTTTTTCGATTGTTTAAAGTTCTTAATTTACAAACATAAAATCAGTAAAATTCAGAAACATTTTCAGAAATATTACATAAAATAACTAGTTTAAGATAAATATTGTTGACAAAATTGCAAAAATAATGCATTTTTTGTAAGTTAGAACAACAATCGATACGGCAAAGAAAAAATCTCCTTTAAAAAGACAGAAAATTAAGCACAAGCACTTTCTACAAACCCTGAAATAAAAAAGCTCCTTTAAGGGCTTTCAAAAAACTTAAAAAAAAAAAAAAACACTTTTTAAAAACGCTATGTACCCTGTTAAATAATAAAATTCGTATACAGTCAAAAATTTGAATGCAAATAAATTGAGAAATGAGGTGAAATTCTTGTAAATATAAAACTGTAACAGCAATGCAAATTTTTTCTATGACTTGTGATCAAAAAACATAATACAAATGAAAGCGTAACTTGATCATATATAAACCACAATTTAAAAACCAGTAATGTAAATTTTGGTTAATAAATTTTTTATACAGTTAACTTCAGTTAATAATAAGGAATTTCAAATATGTAAAACAAATAAGAATCTTAGCACAGTAATTAGAATTATACTTACTTCTTGCTTAATTCTTAACATTTTAACTTGCTTTTCTTGAAATCCTGATCTAAGTTGGAATATGGAAGTCAACAGCTTTTTGCGCAGGAATATTGGATTAGCACCTTGATACTAAAGAAATCATTAAATGAATAAACATTGAGTATCGCATAAAACATAAACAATTTGTTTCAATTAAAATAACTTTGGAAAAAAAAATGACTCCGTAATATCTGAGTCTGTTATCTTAAATATACATTACAGAGCCTTGTAAAATGTTATTAAGAACTCAAATTTACAATGAAATAAACAAATAAATAATGAGTAAAGATTAATCAGGATATTGCCATTGAATTCAAAAGATAATTTACAAACAATTAGAAAACAAACATTTTAATGTGGATAGCTTTGGACCTAAAATAATGCAGATTACAACAACATTATTTTATTTTGCAGATTAATATTATAAGTTTATATTTAAAAACAAGCAGTCCATTAAAGCATTAAGCACATTAAATGTCTTTAATGAAATTTAACTTTTGTTGTTCAATTTTTAAGCAAACTGAGAATTATAGTTAATTTCAAAACTCGTATTTTAAAAATACTTTTTTTTCTGCGTTTTGGGAAAATCAGTCAAGAAGTTTGAAATTTAAAATAAAAAAAAGCATTAATTTGCACAAAAAAAGTTTTGAAAATATTAACATACAATATGTAACATACTTTTTTAAAGTTTTTTTTTTCTCTTTTACTATATATATATATACATTGATAGTCCCCTAACGGTTAAGTTTTATAAAAAAATAAAAACATGATTAAAGATAATAAAACATTTCAGAAAGTTAATTTCTTTTAAAGTGAAGAAAATCACCCAATCTCATGCCTAATTATCATCACTATATCGTTGTTTAGAAAAAAAAGCTGTCAAAATATTTTCTCACAAATTTTATAAGGTTTTTTATAGTCTTAGAATATTTATTAAAAAACTTCTAATTAGTTATGCACTTCGAATTAGTAAAAATAAAATTTTAATCTAAACAACAATTATGAGACTTTCAACAACAGTTAATTTTCAATAACTGGATTGGAGTATTGGGATTATGAGAGAAGTCTAGATTTAAGTAACACTAAATAGATGAAAATTGTTAAAATTGTTAAGGAAAATTTTCATTTTATTTCGATAAAGTGTGATTCTTACCCGTTCTCTTAAAGTTTTAATGGTACTCTCAATGATGAGCTTGCAATCAATTATAACTGGACCATCATAATCTGCTTCATTCAAGTTAGGTTCTCTGCAGAATTTGGACATCTCTGAAAATAAAATCATTCCTTGTAATGACTTAATACAAACTAAGTTATTTGCATTAATCAGCAAAAAAACTTCACAAAATATAAATGTGTATGTATATAATAAAAAGTAAATGTGTACCTAACTATGTCTCAATATAAAACAGAATTTTTACCCTAATTAAAAATGTTAGTAAGATGGATATTTATTTTCTTACTGTGTACAAGGTCAAGTAAGAACTTTTCTAAGAAATGTTACCAAAAGAATAGAATGTAGAACATAAAAACATCAAATTCTCGACAATCAGTACCCCCCCCCCCACATTCACTTAGATAAGCAATAAAATTTCATGATTTTGTAACAGATGGAAAAGTTTCATTAATAAGTTTTTAGTCCTGTTTCACTCTTGTGCATACACAAAATATGTTACAAAACATTTTAACCAGCAATTGTAGTTGAAAATAAATTTAAAAAAAAAAACAAACTTTTGCAAGGATTCAAGCACATAATGATATAATATGGTTTGTAATGGTACCATGCTGGCCAAGGAACATTAAACTATTTCTATTATATATTTACTATGGTTGTTGTTTTCATGTCCATGGATCTTCAGATAACATCAAAGGCCAGGACTATAGCGGCCGCCAGCTTCAGTGCCTCTTAACTGAAGAGCACAGCTATTAGACTGTCCTCAATTGGCACTCATCCCAATTTCAAAACATGTAACTAATAAACGACCATACCTTTTCTCAGCAGACTGCAGTAAAATTAGGAAACGTTGACCAGTTTATGGCAATAAGAAGGTTGGGGAGTACTGATATAAGGATAGGAGTTATCAGGGTTCTTGCTCAATTATTTCAAAAAAAAAATTAGGACTTTTATAGCACTTTTTTAGGACTAAGAAAAAAAATTAGCACTTGATGTAAAGTAAAAATAACATAATCTATACATGATATTAAAAAGTTTCTAACATTTTGGTGATTAAACTTTCTGCAATCTTTCTTTATATTCATATGATCCCAGTCAGAAATAACTTTTGAGGCCAACAGCTGCTTTAAAATTTGGTCACCTTAAAACCTACACTGATTTTTGTCAGAGAGACATAATTCTTTTCATCACAAAAATTAAAATGGCACAGTTTCTCCAGAGAATTTAAGTTTTCCATAGATTCTGGCTTCAGAATGTTATATAATTGCACACTATGTAATACCAAATCCTGGATATCTGCAGCAAAAAATGGTAAAAGTGGCCGATCTGCTTGATACAGTTTCAAAAATGGTGAAACTAGCTCCGACACATTTAAGAAAAAGTTCAGCTTAACAAGAATTAATTTGTCTTTTATTGCTTCTTGTAAAGTTAAAAAGGATTTACATTTCACTTTTCTAAACTTGCCAACATTTTTCACATAAGATTTCAGATCATTCCAAAGCAATATTGCTCTTTCAGCTGCAGGTGCATTTTCCAGCCAACGGTGGTTACAAAATCTTAGTGGTAATTTGTTCTCAGTTGATTGATTAATAAAATCTTCTTTTCTTGTGGGTGAATCTTTAAAAAGATAGAAGATTGAGCTCAGCATGGAACCAATGAGCCATTGTGTTTCAGATTCACCTTTGCAGAATGCATTATTTAAAATATGAAGCCCACAACTTCCTATTGCATTGCATTGAACACCATGTTCTTTTAACAAATCTTCTTGAATATTACTATAAAACTTCCAATTGACAGCAGGACCGTCCATAGAAATCTGCAATAATTTTTTCAGGACTACATTTTTGACGGATGAATAAAAGCAGGCTAAAAGGTCATCTGCTGTAGAATGGCCCAGAAAAGCTGATGTTAAGTATCGCGTCTCTACAATGTTCTTATCTGGGTTCCAAAAGTGGATGTGTATATCCAACTGCTTCTGCTGTGTCGCTTTGTTCAAAGACTCATCAAAAAGTAATGTATAAAACTTGACATTATCAATGCACTTCAGAAGTAGCATGCTAAAATGAGGTGCAAGTCTAAAATGACAGAGATATGCACACTTAGATTCACTGCAGGCGAAATGACGTGCTATTGAACTGTCTGGATACATTGTACTAAATAATTTTCCAGTATCTTTGGAAGAATTGCAGGAGTAGTAGCTTTCTACAACTTTTAAAGCCCATAAAATCTCAGAAGAAAGAACTTCTTTCCCCAAAGCCCAAGAATCTTCTAAAAAGATGGAGACAGCAGAAGAGCCAAAGGCAACAGAATTTAAGGATTTAGGTAAACCGATTTAAGGAATCTGACCGCTCAAAAAAAATTTCAAAACGCCAAAATAAAAAATATTTAGCACATTTTTAGCAGTCAGAAGAAATTTTAGCACTTTTTTGGCCCTAAAAATGTTGGGGGAAAATTTTAGCACTTTTTTAGGACATTTTAGGACAGCAAGAACCCTGGTTATAATATATCACATGCACATTTTATTGATGATGCTACTTTTTATTAGAGATCAAAGGTAAGAGCAAGTTTTAGGCACTGGGAGACACATTGAAGGTGCATAGCCAAATTTTTCAACAAAAAATAAGCACTTTTCGAGCTTTTAAAAATATTTTAAAGCACTATATACATTAACAAAATGCAAAATAGTTTTCAAAGACATCACATGTTCTTCTTTGTCAACACTACAGCTTAGTGCAAGTCAAGGATTTCTCAATTAGCTGCCTCCAGGTTTGAGCTAGATTTTTCCGCCTGTTTATTCCCAATAATTTTAAGTCCTTCTCAACATTGTCCAACCATCTTGTAGCTGGTCTCACTCTTATAATATTCAAAATATTTAGGATAAATAAACATTAAAATACAGTTTTAGACCAAAATCAGTAATCTGATACTGTGGTTCCTAATTCTTTCCCCTATGGAACCCTTAATGATCAAGCCTTTTTTAGCAGATTCCACAGCAATATTTAAAAAAAAAATAATTCACAGCTATGAATATACTAACAAAAAAAAAAAGACAGCTAATTACTTTGAAAATTATTTAATAAGTAGAATGAAATATTTAATATTATATTAATATTTCATTATGAATTTTTTTCTTGGTGTATGTATATGCTAAAAATAAATAAAATAAGCTCAAGCTATTTTTTTTTTTTTTTTTTTTAATAATTTAAANTTTTTTTTTTTTTTTTTTTTTTGAAGAAAGAACTGTTACATACGATGAGAATAGTTATCAGAAAAACGTAATTATTTATTCTCGAGTTTAGTTATTTTATTTTGAATTGAAAAGCTCGACGAGAAACACTAATGAAATTTTTATCAATGCACATTGTATCTATAAATTATTCAACATATTATATTGAAAAAAAAAATACATAATTTAAATTTGGCTACTTCTTTACATTCACATTGTACAACTTAAAGAAGTTCATATAAACAAGTGAAATATTAAATAAATTTTAGATTATTGATTGAATATAAATATTCTTCTTCTTTGTCAGCGCAACAGCCCCTTACAGGCCTTGACTGCCTCAACAGCTGACAAACGCCAGAGCCTCTTATCCATGGCAACTCACTTCCAATTTCTAATCTTTAGGGTTTTTAAACCATTTTCAATGTCGTTGAGCCATCTAGTAGGGGGTCTGTCTCTGGGACGTGTCTCCTCAGGTGACTATTCTCATACGGCTATTTTCAGGGCTTCAATATTATTATTACCGGTTAAAAATATCTTTACTTTCGGAACCCCTGTCCTCCTTCCACCAAAGGGCTTCGCGGAACACTTTTTGGGAATCAACGATCTCACAAATCAATTTTAGAGTTCTTGTAAGTAAATGATGAAAAAGAAACTAGATTTACACGTACCTTCAGTCATAGTAAACTCTTCAGTTTGCCTGCCTTCACGTTCATTCTCGTATTCAGCCCAAGCTGTTTTTCTTTCTTCTTCAGTCAAGTCCTCTTCTGTTTGATTTTGAAGAAGGGAATCATGCTCATGATAACCCACAATAAGGTCTTTATATTTTATAAGCATCTCAGCCAACAGACGATCCTACATAGGAAAGTCATTATTTTTAGTAAATTTATAATTTTATTGAGAGTACAAAATACAATTTGATTCACTAATACTAATGTTTGAAAATGCAGGTTAATTAATTTTGCACAAATAACAAATCAGATTATGCACAAATAAATGCTGGCCAACTTTTCTTTTTTTCCAAGTTTGATTTTCTATAGTAGTAGTAAAATGTAAAATCAGAATAATGTAAATTTAAAATACTGAAAAATATATATATTTTTATATTTTATTCGAGTTTAATAACATCAAATTTTGATCATCATGCATTTATAAATACATGTTTAATTTATTCATTTGTAGTAATCATTTTTAGTGGCCTTAATTATATAGTGCAAAATCAGAAATAAAATGTAAAATCAGAATAATGTAAATTTAAAATACTGAAAATTATATATATTTTTATATTTTATTCGAGTTTAATAACATCAAATTTCGATCATCATGCATTTATAAATACATGTTTAATTTATTAATTTGTAGTAATCATTTTTAGTGGCCAGTTGGATCTCTATTTAATGAAATAGCTAAATCCCTATAAAGAGTTCTTTAGATGGAAAATTCGATAAATAAAAAATCACCATTTGAAACACTTAAACACAAAACAGGTTTTTAATTCATAAACACTAGACATAATTAAAATAGTAATTGATACAGCTTGATTAAATAAATTAATAATTTAATGCAAATTAATGAAAGCATCTTCAGTTTGCTTCAAGAACAAAAGAATGCAACAGTGTAAAATATGAAATCCTTACATTACAATTCAAAACAATTCTTAAGGATACATAATTTAAGGATCAAAACATAAATGAATTATTGGTTGCTCTGATAATAAAAAATTTTCTTCTCGAGAAAAATTTCTTAAATGTTTTTAAGCACATTTAATTCAATATTACAGAGTGGAGAGTATTTTATTTTATTTTTGTACATTTTATTTTAATTTTGAATTTCTAATTCAATCTCTCAACAATAATTGAAATTGCAAATTTGAAACTTTATTTCATTTCAGAATTTCATTAAAGAGGACAGATTGAATGTTTTATCAATAAAAAAAAACAAGTCATGGTTAGAAAATAAGAATCAGATCTTTAAGATGAATGAACTTGGCAAAAAGTTAAAATTCAAAAGATTATTACAACTTGCCAATCAAAGAAAGAGTTTCGGTCATTAGTTTTCAAGCATTTTCAATTCTAATGCAAATTAATTTCTAATAACACAATATTTTTATCTTTCAGAAATTTCATCACTCCCAGTGATGAATGCATGACTTGCATTCATGAGGTGTTTGAAGTGAAGTTTTGTAGCAAGTTGTGATGAAGATTTAGTTTTGTAGCAAATTGTGGAGTGCAACAATTGCAATTTTTTAAATATGTTGAATAAAAAGTGTTAACTTACTTGAGGTACCATAGGTGTCATTCTATTGCTTGAAGATTCAGGGTCAAATGTGTACAATTCAGCAAGTTCAGAAGAATTGAAGTGGCGATCAATTTGTTGCTCATCTACAACTCTAATTGACAATGATAATTTATTGACTTGCCGGTCATAGATTTTTTCTTCCATAGTTCCCTATAAAAAATTTAGTTGTATATATTATTAATTCTACCAATTCTATTACATTCAATTGTAACTAAAATTCAATCACAATAACTTCACCTTGAAATGAGCCAAAATAGCTTAAATATCCTATTTAAGTAATTAGTTAAGGCAACTAGATCATTTATGTGTGCTCTGTCTAATTTATATGAATAAAAGTACTGACATTAAGCATTTTGCCTAACAAATAAATTCAGAATTAAGATAATTCTTTTGCTTATAATTTAAGTACTAATAAAAGTAGTTTGTCTGGTTTCTTTTTATTTAAAGAATTCAACGAGCATTAGTCCCAGCCAGTGGTAAAAAAAATTACATTATTTTTGTAGTTTATTACAACAATTACTTTGTTACAAAGGTAGCTAACTACGACTACTTTTTTTAAAATTTAGTGACTACAAACTACTTTGGTACTACTAGTAACTACTTCACTACTTTAAAGAGACTAACTTTGCTCGAAAAGAGATTACTTTAAAGAGACTATCATTGCACCCACGCAGATTGCGTTTCTTATAAACTAACGTTAAAAGTAGTTGCCAGGAATCGCTACAAACTACTGGTTCCTTGTATCGCATTACACTACTTTTTTAAAAAAGTAATGGCTATGGTAGTTTCACTACTTGCAGTGCGCTACTTCAGACCACTGGTCCCGACTATAACAGAACTTAAGGTTGATGGTGTTCTCGCACAAAAAAACTGGTTTACCCTATGTTATTCAATAGGAAAGTAGAGAATAAAAGATAAATTACACTACAATTCTGCCCAGAGCTTATATGTTTAGAGGGTTAATGACGGTTAGATTTGGTCAAAATGTCTTGAATTAATTGAAGTTTATCATAACATTTTTCTCAAGTATTTTCTTGCCTTCTGTATGAGGACAAAGTAATAAAATTTAAATTCTTAAAAGAAAAATAAAGAAAAGAAAGCACAATAATAATGCATTTTAATATGTTATATTTGAACCATCCCAGTGAAATAAATTAATTACTTGAAAGTTTCATAACTGCATACATTTAAAACATATATTAAATAAATTAATCATATGGAAAATGAGACTAGCAATATCCATGGACTAATATTTAAATTAAATATCTAAATTTGATATTTAGAAGCTATAAAACAAATTTGTCTCTTTAATAACAATACATAAAATATTTGAAGAGACTAATAAGTAGGTGCTTTGAAAAAAGATTCTAGAATATGTATACAGATATTTATTTATATTTGCTAGTGATTCAAGACTGACTTGTTTTCTTTTGAAAAGTCTGTTCATTGCCAATTAAAAATAATTGAATGATTTTGAAATGTAAACAAAGGGATAGTTTAACTGTATAAAAACATTCCAATAATTAAAAATTAAGTTTTTCATTTCTAAAGGATACTAAGAAAGAAAGACTTTATAAAAAAAAATTTAAAAAAAACCATTAACAGCAAAGAGGGGCAATAAATTTATTAACAAATTATAAATTAAATCTAAAACCTTCACTTCAGATGTATTGGATTTTTATGCATTTTTAAATAAAATTAAAAAAAAAAAACAAAGTGAAAAATGTATAATTATCGAAAATCAGCTTTATTTTGAAATTTGCAGAGCAATTTTTTAAAAGTGGTCTCCAATGACATAATATATATAATGAAATATTTAAACATCCTTAATATCGTAACTATTAAAAAGAAATTTTTTAATGATGATCACATAACTCCACATAAATTTTCTCCTAATTATATAGATATTAAATTTGTATAATTACAAAAAAGTTTGTAATCCATTTCAATAGTGTTTCCACATTACACAAATTTATTGTTACTGCTAAAAAACAGCTATTTTTTTTTTTACACAAAAGCAAACATGAATGGCTTTTTTAATAGTTAATTTTTATAGATATGTATTTTTATATTGTTTTGATTAAACATGCCTGAAACAGTCCAAAGCTGTATTAGAAAGAAAAAAAATACATATATAGGGAATCAGAGAGGAAAAAATACATTTAAAAATTGAGATGAAATATATATTTTAGAATAAGAGAGGAAACGGTGTAGTTAACTCAAAAGAAGAAAAAGTGAACTTAAAAAATAAGAGAAAATCATATTCAAAAACTATCTAACATGAAATATTTTATAATGATTAAGAAAAAAACAAATTTCATACTTGGGCAAGCAATCTGTATATGTAAACAGGTTTATTTTGTCCAAATCTATAAACTCTAAAAATTGCTTGAACATCATGAGAAGGATTCCACGAAGCATCGAGAATAATAACTCTATTTGCTCCAACTAAATTTGTGCCCAGACCTCCAGCTCTAGTAGAAACAAGGAAAAGACGGGCTCTAAAAAGAAATAAGAAGAATTTTAGACTAAATTATTTCACATTGTTAATAAAAATCAATGGAATAATGAACCTTTTTAGTATAGAAAAAATATCAACTTACAATTTCCTCTTAACTCTCTAATAATTTTAAATCTCCTAAAATAAAACTTCAAATTTTTTTTTATTTGAGAAAATTTCTGAAACATATTTCTATTCTCTCTTTTGTATAAAATGTATCGATTGAAATATATTCTATACACAATATACATTATAAAAAATTAATGTTTTTGCACTAGAATTAATTTGAAATAAAAAGCAAAAAATTTTCTTTACATTATTTCGTAATTATTTTTATTGTAGGTCAATTTAGATAATACTTTCTGGACCTATATAGTGACTTCATCCCTATGTTTATTTTAGAATTATTATGTAATAACATAATTCTAACGTAAAAAATTAAATTAAAAAAAAAAACTGAATCACTTTAAAAATATTTTACTAAATTTTCTTTTCAATTAAAAGTCATTTATTTATTTAAAAAAAAAAAAAAAAAAAAAAAAAATAATCACGGATAAAATACTTAGTGCTTACTAGAATAATTCATTTGCAGATAGACTACAGTAACACCAACAATCAAAAACAATTTAAAATATTATTTATGAAAACATCATTCCTTTAAATAATTCTACTGTGAAATGTCGCACCTTAAATTGTTTGGGTTATTGAACATGTCAATAAATTGCTTTCTGAAATCTGCAGAAGTGCTGCCATCCATTCGAAAATAGTCAAGGCCTTTTATCCATGAATAATGCGCAATAATGTCTTCATTGATGCCCTTTTCCTTCTCCCTTTCATCACATGCATGCTCCAAAATCTCTTCTATTAAATCGAGGGTGAGCAATGATTGGGAAAACACAATCCTAGAAAAAAAATCAATTTAAGTACATAATGGTTTAGAGATTTAAGAATGTCTCTTTATTAAACATACACATAATAATAAGATTGTTGAAGGTAAATGATTTTAATAAACTAAATCAAATAATTTTAAGACTTGTTATAAATTCCTCGTCAAAAGAAATTTCTGAAATTAAATTATAAACATTATATGCATCATAGAAGAAATAGTTAAATTAAGCTAATGTTTAATTTAATAATTTACTTCTTAAAAGAATTTTGACCCTAAATAACTAAACATTTGTCCAATAGACTCAAGACCTTGTAGTAAGCTTAAGGAAAAATCAGTATATTTTTTTTAAAAAATCAGTAAATTTTTTTAAAAAAAAAAAATCAGTAAATTTTTTTTAAAAGAAAATCAGTATATTTTTTTAAAAAAATCAGCATTTTTTAAAAAACAGAATACATTGACAAGAATATTTTTAGAAGGACGAATTATAAAATAACCATAATTTGTTCTACTTGAGTACATTAATAGCAAATTATATTGCAAAAGAAGAATAAATTATGCTATTGTTAAATTTAGAGTTATACTTAGTTTAGAACAGAGCTTCAACAGTTCAGTATAGTTTTATTAATGAAACACAGAACAACTCATGATAGTTTGAGATCAATATAAAGAAAACTTTTTATAAAACTGTCGTACATAAAAAAAGTTTAAAAAAACGGTATCAATTAATTTATATTCTCTTACTTCAATATTTAATTTAAATTTGCAATTAAGATAAAAACTTCTTAAATCCAATAATTTTAAAGTAGGGTTTTCATAATCGCAAAACAAAAGCGTGGTAAATGATTGCATTATTGATTAGAATTGATCATTTTTAAAATCTGATAAAAGAGACATCACCAGTAATTGTGAAACAGTAAAGCTTCAACTTAGAGATTCATTACAACACCTGTTGAAAATTATGAATAAGCACATGACCCCTGAACTCATTACTTGGAAGAAGAATTTGATAATGCAAAACTGTAAAATGAGTTTCATTTTCATGAAATTGCTAAATTCTATTAAAAACATTCAAACAATGAATAATATACACCTGAATAATGTATATAACTATTGAATGGTTCCAACATTAAACTAACAAATTTTGCAATTTTTATCTGTATTATTAATTAAAACACAAATATATTAGATCTTAAATGAAAAATCTTTTGATTCTCAAATTAATTATTTTAAAATCCATATTTGTTAAAAAATTTAATGTTCTAAAGATATACAAAAATCAAGAAATAAAGCTAAAAAATCAGGAAAAATATTTTTCATCAGGAAAATCAGTTACGAAACCTTATAAATGATGGAAAAATTAAAGAATATCTATTAGTAAAACACATACAGCATAAGTTAACAGCAAGTGAAGATTTTAGTAAATTTATTAAAAATCATTTTAAGACTTGTTTGTAATATTTCGTTGTGGACATAAAAGAAATTTTAAAAACTAAGACATAAACTATGCATACATCATAGGGAAAAAGAAGTTATTGCTTAATGCGAATAATTTGATTCTTAAAATAGGTTTAAAGAATCAAAGAATAGGATTCTTAAAATAGGTTATCCAATAACTAAATTCCAAACTAGTAGACTCCAAATCTTAGCCAGTTAAGCAAATTAGAGATATTAATCTAACACTATCACATCTTTAAAGATTGCAAACCATTTAATCATTTATTTACATTTAAACAAAAAATTTAAAACAATTTCAGTAAGCTACAAAAATATGTTTTACATAAATGAAGAAAATTTTAAAAATAGGCACATTTTTAGTTTTAAGTCTAAAGTCAAATATGATTAGCTAGCAGAGTAATGATTTAAGTTTAGTCATATAGGGTAGAAATTTGTTAGAAATATTTTATAACCATTTGTATAAAGAATAAATACAGTTGAACCTTAATCCATCTTTCGTCTACCTGTATGTATTGTTTTAACAGACCTATCACAAATGCCACTCTTATACTACTGTTAATAATGCCCATTTAGATTGTTTGAAACTAGAACATTTCCATGCCTACATTCAGAAATTTTACTGACATTTGTAGAAAAAAATAGTTATCTTGTTTGGAGCAGAAAAACTACATGGATATTTGGGTAGAAACACCTAAAACATTATTTTTGACATTTAAACATCAGTTTGATTTTACACCCGTCATTGAACAGATGACCCAATTTTGAGATTACGACAACAAATATTTAAATCCTTAGCCTTGTAATTTTGAACCCAATCCAGGAAAGAAGGGAACTCCTAGATCAAGTATTGGAATAAATTTGCCTTTGTGGAGGATCTTTTTAATGAAACTAAATTGCATCACTTGGAGAGTAAAACCAGAAAAACCACCAAGCCTAATAGCAAGGGGATCTATCTACCACTGAAGATATTTTAAGTCAGCATTGTTGTCGGTGCCAGGTGTGGAATTCGTATAGACCAGCCATAGCTAGGAATCGAACTAGGGTTACCTCGTTGGTTGGACTCTTATCCCCTGAACTCTTTAATACACCGGTTAATGAAAATGGTGAAACTTGTGATGAGATATTGATTGAAAAAAATAGTTTCAGAAACTGAAGAATTGCAAATGATAACGATGAAGGCACTGAAACAGAATCATAACCAGTGCTGAATTTGCGGAAAGCCTTAAAGTCTTCAGAAAAGAAACTTTCTGCATTCAGACTAATTCACAGAAGAATGGCATCTGCTATTTTATTGTTTGTGTTTAAAAGAAAAGATTATGGTCAAACTAAAATTTCTAGAAATATTAAATAAATAAATGTGTTTTTTCATCTTTCCATCATATCATAAATGTTTTAACAATAAGCATTTAATTTTTTAAATAAAATTTTTTATATTTAATGCAAATTTATTACTTAAATAAATTTAATGTTTTTACGTCTGCAAATTTACTATATTTCATACTTTTTAAGTGATTATTTGATATATTATATTAGTTTCCATTCATAATTTTCCCATATCTATTGTTTGCTACGAATGGTCTCATGAAAAACGATCAGTAGAGGTTTTTCCGTAAATGAAACTGAAAAGAAAAGCTGAGGAATAATAGACGAAAGATACATTACTAACACTTTATCTCCAATACTTTCACACTCTTTTAAAATATTCATTAACAGCACCATTTTCCCACTTAATTCAATCTTGTGAGCATCATCATCCGAAATAAATTCATGATACCACTCCTTGGTTTCCACTGGTTCCACAAGTTCTTCCACTGAATCTTCATCCTTGTCATCTGAAAAACACAACATTTAAATTTGGAGAATGTCTATTACATTGTAACATTTACTCAATGCCAACTTTCAAATAAACTGCAGTCAAAATCTCCAGGTAAGCAGAAATTGTGATAAAAATATGTGCATATCTTATCTAAGAGGAGTAAAAAAAAAAGGCTCCTTTTGTCCCTCGGTCAACTTGAAAAGAATCACATACTCATTCTACCCAGATTCAATGTGATTGGTAAGTAATTTCTACTAAGAGAACAGATTTATAATAATATTTAAAATAAATTTTAACTTTCAATCACACCAATTGTAATGTGCTATTATAGGCACTACTACAATCGCTAATCCTTAACCTGGAAAAAGTGTGAGAAATTACTTAATATTCCCATAGCCGTTTTTTTTAGTTGCCCAATTATCTGTATTTTTCGTTATCCGGATCTGCTTTGATTCCGATTGGTCAGAATAATAGGCACTCAATTGCATATTAATAGTCAAAACAGTAGCATTTTTGTTAAGTAAGAAGTATTTTCATAATCAAGATAAGGATACTACATTGCAATTGAATTCTAGGGATAATTAGATTCTACTATATCTATAAATGTTTCAATTAATTCAAGTTTTTTTATAACTTTTTTTTTTAGAACAAAGTTTCTTCAAATGTATACACACAGTTTAAAGTGCAATTTTGCTACAATATTTAAATAAATTTTTTTCCCTAACATTTTAAGTTTGATTACCAAAAGTATTCAAATGATAATGTTTATTAAGATAGAAAAAAGTAATTTTAAAAAGACTTACTTTCAAAATTTGTCTTCCTAAAATGTATATTACAATTGACTTATAAATAAAATTTCAAGAACCATTTTGTGATGACTGTCTAGCTATTTTTTAAAATTATGTAGAACAAAATAGAAAGAAAGTTAATGAAGTCTATTTGCTTGGAAATATCTTTCAGGCTAGATATAGGGCAAAATTAACAGTCACTACTGGCCAAAGGACAACTAAATATAATAAGAGGCAATTTAAAAATTGTCTGCTAGTTGTGATCTGATTAAAACTTGAAAATTGCACCGTATTTGCATTTTATTAGTAGTAGTATTTTCAAAAATGGAATAATTAAAAATATTTTATAAAAATTACTTAATTTTATTGTTTCTTAATTTTTTAATTATAGAAAGGAAAATATCTTTTGAGAAATGCTTGAAAAGAAACATCTTACATTAACAATGTCTATCAACAGTTTTCTTAATCATTTAAAAGTTTCAATTTTTGAAAAAGTGATCACATGACTTGAAAAATGGCCACGGTTAAAAGTGCTATAAAAAACTTGATAGCAACAAAATTTCCTAGCTTTTCCCTATAAGGCTGGTGATATTTCATGATTTAGAGTAGGGGTGCACAACTTTTTTGAGTGAAGGGCCACTTGCACAGCACGTAGATTAACAAAGGGCCATACTCATATTCAGTAATGTTAGAGATGTGTTCAAATATGATATATTTTATCTAAACATTAGTGTTCTAAACACCAAATATTTTTATCAGTAAACTTAATAACATATATGCAGAAAATTATGTACTCTTAATTATTCAAAACTAATAAAAACTGAAAATTTTTTTAAAATTTTTTCTTCCATTTTTCACAATAATTAATTTATCAAAAGCCCAAAAAAGTATGTATTTTACAGAGTAACATAAATTTGAATTAAATATTTTAATAAAAGAAAATTTATAATGTGTAAACAAAATCTAAATTAAGCTTAATTTCGTATTGCATTCAAATGTTACCGTGGGCCACATGTGGCTCACATGCCATAGGTTGCTCACCCCTAGTTTAGAGAATTACTTTTTAAGTTATACCAGTAGTATAACTATTTAATTAAAGCAGAGTATGATCTCTGAATGCATTATTCTATGGCATTCTCTGAAAACACCCCTTTGTTCATTTGTGAATTATTTATTTATGCTTATTTAAAAAAAATTAAGTTAATATTTTTTTTTCTACTATGATAGATAAACTAAAATGAATATAGGTCTATTAACAGCTTTGTTATATTCCAATGCTACTCCACACAGTAAGAAAAGTATTCATAATGTATTTCAGCAAATGTATTATGAGAGTAAACTATTAGACCTATTCCCACAACAAAGACATGAATATGTTCCCCCAATAACAAAGATCCTAATCTTAAAATGGTCTACTATTCTCAAGTTTTTGTTTATTTATTAGAATTTTTTTTTTTTTTGTATTTACATAATTTATTGGAGTAAGGACTATTCGCGATCGCAACGCTCGAGTACGCCGTCTAGCGGGAGCCTGTAAATATCGGACATTAATTTATCACGTTTTCATTTAGTTCCATCAAAGTCATTGACTGAATCAGACGCCATTTTTTAGCAGCAAATAAGAAACAAAATTTCCCTAAGGAAAAGGCCGAAGAACTTGAAAAAAATCTCCAGAATATTAGTAAATCTTTCAGGAACAGAACACGCCAAACATTTGAAGAAAAATTCCTCAATAATTTTTAATTTCTATTATCAACAAACTTGCAACTGATGACTTCCGATTTCGGATACTGTTACAGATGTGTGTATTAAGGTAAAATGCATTTCTTCTGTCTTCAATTCATTACGAATTAAAGTGAAGTCAACATTGCTTTCGTCATTCCAGTGAATAAATATGAATTCAGAACATACAGAATTGTAATAGTTATAGCATATTCTTCTTCGTTATAGAATAGTATATATTTCTGTATCCATATAATTCGGAAAACAACAATAAAAAATTATCCAAGTTACTTGAAATAGTGCCATTTGTGCTGATTCTTAATTAATTTAAATCGTTTTCTTGGTAAGTTTTTTTTAATTTTGAAAGAATAAGTTCAACTAGAATTCAGCTATTCTGTTTTTAGCTACATATTCAAATTCATATCAATTATAAAATTTTGCTGTGTAGTATGTTATCTAAAAGTAATGAAGGTATAAACTATGTATCTATTATTTGAGAATAAAGTTTTCAAACAAGGAACTTATCATTTTGGAATTCTCCGGGAATCATAAATCAGGTAAGTGCAATGATTTTTACAATAAAAAATTTGCTTGTAAATATTTTTTTTTCATTTGATGATGGTTCTCTACAGAATGGTTTTTTACGTCTGATTAAGAACTATAAGAATAATAAAAAAAGAAACAATATGAAAGTTTTTATTTCAATGTTAAGAATTCTTAAAATCGTTTTTTTTATCCTAAGAATTCTTTATTTTCCGTTTTTTAGTTTATAATTTTTTGATAAAAATTGTTCTCAAAATACTTTTTTTGAAAAATTAAATGGTATAACATTATGTGTTTATGTATACTTCTTGTATATTCCAATGTTTGAAGTAATATGATTCAGAAAAGTATGGAATAAAAATTCGGTACTTACGTATTAACGCCACCGCCGCTACAGATTTGGCGGTTTTTAAGTGCCGCCAATCTACACTTAAAATTTTTGCGACAATTCATAAAATAAAACACTTTATTTAAAATCAAAATAGTCAATCGGATTTCGGTGGAAAATGAGCCGATATAGAGTTTAGCATAGATTCAAAACAATCATATCGCCATATGAACTCTGATAAATAAGATTCCAAATGAAATAACATTTCCAAAACGTACGTTTACCAAGATAAAGTTTTATGTTGTGGGAATTGGTACATTTTCGTTTTTTCGGTAAAATATTTCCCTCCTGAAAAAATAAAATTGCATCTTGTTTTGTTTTTGGCAAATCCCAAAGACGAATTTTCGTAGCACTAAAAATGGCGACAAAAAAGAATTGTTTTTTTTTTTTTGTTTCGTCAGCATTCTTTATTTTACGTTTCTTAGTTTCTAAATAATGATTTTTATTGAAACTTGAAATTTTTTGATAAAAATTGTTGTCAAAAAACTTTGTTTACAAAATTAAATTTCATAAAATTATGAGGCTTATGTATACTTTTTGTTCATTTTAATTTTTGAACTAATATGATTCTTAAAACTATAGAATGTAAAGTTTAAATGGGCCTTTCATGTTATATCATTAAATTTAGTAATACTATTTCTCGGGCATTAGGTTTTAACTCTTATAAGAATATACATATTTTTTTCTGTTAATGTACAAATATTTTTCCGATGTGTTTTGGATATTCCTTCTCTAATAAAAAGAGATACCATTTTGTTTTCGGTTGTACAAGAAAGAAGATCAAGCATTTTTCTTTTTTAAATTTAATAAGCCACATTAAAGAAGGAACGTTGCAATGCTACACGCTACATTAACGACGTCTCCAGAGTAACTGAATGACGGTTCATATAGAAATCGCAGGTAAGTGTCTCATACAACAACGCCCCCTATAGTTCGTTGCGATCGCGAATCAAGAATGTTCTTTTTTTCAATAAATATAATTTAATAGTCATGGTACAAGAATTTTGAAATGTAGGTTGTTTGAATACTTGCTAACTTTAAATAGCATTTTTTTTAAATCTATAAATACTTTTTATAAAAAAACATTTTTATGCAATCTCATACACCTAATAATTATTTTTTTTTTTTTGAAAAATTCTTTTTCTTTATTTAAAGAAAAAGCGCTCAGGCATATATCAAATTGAAAAGCATCAAGCTTAGCATCAACAGATAACTCTAAAAATGAATCTTAACATGCATTAAGTTCTAAAGATGTATGCACTGAGTTTTAAAGAGATTCTTTTATTAGCTAGCCTGGAAGCAAAAAACTTGCAGCAGGCTGCAGATTAACATAAGATCTGCATACAAATTTTCATATCATATAAAACAACTAAAGCTTCAATGATATGTATTGAAAATGAAAAAAAAAGACAGATTATTTTGGATTGAAGAGCAAATTATTTATTATAAGTGCAGCTAATAATACTCCCTTTGCAAAGATTTTCCGAACAGTTCAAAAAACTTTTAAAATCTGAACTAAGCTGTTGACACATCAACTATAAAAAAAAAACAAGATTTTCAATCATTCCAAATAATTTTTTTCAATTAACTAGTATTTTTAAAAACTATTTTTTTATTCAGTTCTGAAATTTCAGTTATTTGGTTACAGATTGTATACAGAATTATTCTTAAAAAAAAAAAAAAAGTCTTGTAGTACATAATTTGAATTAAATTGGCATAAATTTGCCAACATACAACTTTTTTAGCATAACTTTATCTATTTTACCAATGCAAATTTAACTATAAACTTGTTATATTAAGCCTAATTTTAATACAGTATCTGGTTGAGGTTGCAGACAAATTTGTTTTTGTAAGGATTGTGCTGCAGATTGACACGGTAAATTTGGCTACCAGGTTCAAGTAAGTAAATAAATCACCAAATAATTACCTAAGTTTCTTCTTCTTGATCTAGTTTTATATTCCTTCACTACTTCCTCAGCACTAAAAAGAATATGAATTCAGATATAAGTAAAAAAAAAGTAAATTTACAGTAAAAAATCTTGGAAATAATCAATTTCAACATAAAAGTACTAACTCTGAACTTGAGCTAGAAGATTTCTTGTTTTCTTCTGATGTGGCATCATCATTAATAAAATCATCCTCACTATCATCTTTTAACAACTATAAGTAAAATATATTTAATAAAATTAAATTTATTACTTTATTTATATTATTAAAACTTATAAATGAAATGGTACAATCTTACATTTACTTATAACATAAAAATAACTATAAAAGTTAACTGTTGAATTCTAGAATTCAGCAATAAGTTTTTAGGACAAAAAGGGAACTAAGTGACAAATTACAGAAAAATTCATTATTGTTCATAGTTCCAATACATAAAAAAAGAACATAAAACAATTAAAAATTGCAATTTACCACATGGCAGTTCTCAAAAGATGGAAATATATTGCAGATATAAACATTAAGCTCAGAAAACAACCAAGTTTAAATTTAATAAACAGTCAAGACTTTAAAGTAAATTTACAATTGTCCGCAGATAAGAATTTACATAATTCCAAACATTTATGATATTAACCGAGCAATTATAACACCACTGCTTGATCCAGGAGTTCCCTTGCCTCCTGGGTTGGGTTCAAAATTACAAGTCTAACTAATTGAACATTGATAGTCATAAACATAGAATTAGGACAGCTGCTCAACGCCATTTATAAAATAAAACTAATTAAAGGAAAAGTTGATTAGTATTAACTCCTTGAAGTATTAAAAGTGGAACAATCTAACATCATGTTAATTATTTAGATTTGCTTGACTCGTATTTACAAAAAGTGAATTCTCCGCTTTTCGCTTCATAATGATTTTTACCACTTTTTTTTTGTTCGATTTTAATCTGATTATAATGTAAAAAAATAATTAGATATCACAGAAACGAAATTCTTCATTTCCGCACGGTGCAAAAAAAATCCTGTATTTTTCTTATCATGTCTCGTATAGAAAGATTATTACCGACAAGAATCATGCATTAAATTTCAGGGTGTGCAAAAATTTGACATTTTGGAAAAATTACAGATTTGAGATGAAATCTTCACGACTAAAGCAGGTCATTAAGTGATTATTCAAAAGCTTGATTCAGAATTTGATAATAGTAATAATATTATATTAAAAATAAGTTTGAAATTTTAAATACTAAGTGGAAATACCACACTGTTGAAATGTGGTCGACAAAACTATGTGGACAATAAAATCGTCACAAATCCAGTGCATCGAAAAACTATGAAAATCGGCTGCAATGACTGACAAAAAAGTGATTCTAAAACCACTTGGGATTATAGGTGAATGATCAATAATTAAGTGCAAAATGCACGATTTTAAGTCTGCCTAACAAAATAATAATGCATTGCTAATAAAACATTGAGATTTTAAAAACGAAGTAAAAATCCGCTTGAATAACTAACGTTAAAACAATCGATAAAGCCACACAGATACACTGTGGAAACCTCGCTACTTAAGTGGATCGAGAAATGGTAACTTACGAGGTAATAGCGTGATTCAAAATTTGCTGTATGTAATAATGACATATTAAAATATCGAGATTTTAAAAATCATGTGGAAATCTGTAACAAGCTGCTAAAATATCGCAACCACATGGATTTATTTATTTTTGGTAGAAATTGACGTTAATTATTGTCTTTTTGTTATTTTTTATTGAATAAGGATGTTTTGATGTTTGTTTGCTTTAAAGACCTAATTATTTAGAAAAATCTATTTTCAGGACTAGCCGAAGTCCTTACCATTCCGAATATGGAACTGTTCACTTTATATATATATCGATTTATAGATAGATAAATACATTTTTATGATACAGTGATACAGATTTCAGTTAAATATATACAAGTTATTTATATTGCAAAAATATATCCATTCATACAGGGTAACATCATAACATTGTTACTAGGTATGTAGAACAAATAAACAAAAATTGCTACAAAGTCAACTATAAATACAAACACTCTGTTTACTTTTTAAGCTTATCAAAAACTCTACCAAATTTAAATTATCTTAAACTCACAGAAATTTAGGTATTAAAATTGATTTATAAAAAAATATTTTTATAAAAATATACAGAAAATACAGGGTTAGACTAAACAAATCATCAGATCACAAATAACTATTTACTGGTATATGGTATACTAAGACAAAAGTTACATAAAAATATACACACATAGAAATAAAATATGTATTACATAAAAAATATAAACACACTTTCCTGGTTTTATACCACAAATGTTCAATGTGTGAGATGTAAATCAATGCAGAACAAACACCAGGATTTAATAATGATTTTTTTTAAAAAAAATATTGGTTTTAAAACTTATAAAATTTTAATACAAAATAGTGAAAAGTTTAAATTGATTTTCTTAGTTTAAAATTTATTATATGCTGCATTAATAAGATTCAATAGGAAAGATAACATTAGGGATAAGAAATGTAAGGGAAAGATAACATTAGAATAATAAAATTAGAACTATGCATTTGCATACATCATGTATTAAAGTAATTAATGAAAAACAACTTTTAGTATGGTAATATAGTTTAATATTATTATTATAATCCATTTTTAATAAAATTTTAATTGTAATTTCATTAATATACATACATAATTTATTATAAACTTAATTTCTTACAGTATTTTTAAAAAAAAAATCAAGAAAAAAAATCTTATTTAATTTAAATATATAAATATTAGAAAAAAAAATATAATAATCACTATCTCTGTCTGACCTAGAATAGAAGACCTAGACGCTTGTTTATGACATAACATGCGAAAGGTAGAAAAGAATGTTGCTGTAAGCGATCGGAGATGGTTGCAAAGATAAAAGAACAGTCGATTCCTTACTATCATTATTGGTCTTATTCGTATATATATATATATATATGTGTGTGCGTGTATTTTTTTCATTCTTAAAATCTAAAAATGAGAATCCGCATTTTTTATGCTCTAAATAATTTTGTATACATAGTTCTTGCCTTAAAATAATAAATTAAAAATGAACCAATAGAAAAAAATCACAGTAAAAAGAATTAATAATGCATTAAGAAATTTTAGATAAGGTTTCAAGATTTTTTAAGAAATTTTCTTAAATTTTATTCAAAACTTATTTATTACGGATAAATTTAAATTTTATATTATTTTAAGAGTAAACATATCAAATCAATAGCAATTGATTTAAAATAGAAATATTACTTTTCTAAGAATTGAAAATTAGTACTTAACATTACATTTATGGAAACAAAATATGATTGGAAAGAACACTTAACATACTTTTAAAAAAAAGCATAAAAATGTTTATCCTTCGTAAACCTCAAAAATATTTATAGCAAATTTATATCATTATTCAATTTCTTTTTTATTTACTGCAGTAAATTGATCATCTGTCCATTAACTTTTTTCTATGTTCTCTTGTTTTGCATAAATGTGATAAAAAATGATTTAGCGCGACTTATTTTTTTTATGATATAGACTAGAACTTTAAGAAATAGGTCATTAAGTATTGGAAGATTAATTTTATCGTAAAGTTTAAGTATGATTTTATAAAGACACAAACAACATATTTATAGAACAAAAGCTTTATTTTAACAGAACAAAAGCTATATAACAAAAGCTTTATTCCCCTCTTACTTTATTATTGAGTAAGGGGAAAATATATATACAAAATCAAATAACATTTTGAAACATTATATTTTTAAAGCATAACCCCATGAGGCAAACATTTTATTGGTGAAAATATAATTTCATTATAAAACAATGGGTGCAAGTTGGAAAAAAGGCCAAGACTGAAAATTTTATCTGACTAAAATTCCCGACATACCTCCTCAACATACAAGACACATGCAAAACATCTAGGAAGCTCCACCATAGGATATTTAAATACTGAACAAAAAATATCTGTCTAGCATATCTCTTCTTTTAATAAAATAACATGAGCATAAAAGTACACCAATATAAATAATGTATGCAACTTTTACTAACTAAATTATATCATTAATTGCAATTTCAAGACTATCACCATAGATCTCTATTCTGAAGAAAGCATGGAAAATGTCATTTACTTTTAAATAACCAAATTTCTTATCTAACATTATTAGTCTCACATTTGTGCAAAATTGCAATTCATATATATAGTCAAAGATATAGTTGGGATTTTTTGTCATAGAGTGAAAATGATTGGAGCAGTGAAATTCATTTTGGGAAAGTAAAATACAACAGTAAAAACATAAATAACATTATAAATTACAGAAACCAATTTCATAAAAAGAAACTTTCATGGATAATTCAAAATATTTGCTAAGTTACTGTATTTTAACATGCATATTAGTTAAACAATCTTTGACAAAAATGCTGTTCGTTGATGAAATTGTGAAAATAATTTTAAAAGTAAAACAGTAAATTACTACTGATTGTATAGTTATTATTAAATACTTTAACCATATACAAGCAATTCAAATTTCCTGACACTTTTGAGCTTGTAACAACTTAATACAAGTAGTGTGCTTTAGTGCTGCTTGAGCATAATAACCTGCTAAATATACTGACAGGCATTGATGCTTCCACATTAAAAATATGAATAATTGAGATTGGTGTTAAAAAAGTATCATCAACATCAAAGTCATCAAACGGTACTTTTTCAGATGAACTATCTTTTTTATCATCATAAAAGGTGATACTTATATCACCTTTATGATGAAAAGACAGTCTAAGTTCTTTAAATAAGTGAAGCTTATTTTTTACCTCAAACATTTGTTGTACAGAAATGTGATACTCAGAACCAGCCATACTACAATATTGCCCAAACCTAGACTCCAACTTGTTAGTCTAAGCAGCACCTAACATTTTGAACTCAGTAATGCAATACTGTGTCAGATTAATAATAATTTCAGTAGGAATTAACAAAGCAGTAAGAGATTTTGTTTGCTTGTCTACTACTATCTAAATCTAATTTACCCCATAGTTCTAGCCAATCTAGAAACTTGAGCAAGAAAATAGATTTTTCATTACAAGTAACAGGCTTACACATAGTTTTACGAATGGGTTTACCTTTCAAAGGGGTCTTTACATTAACAAAGTCCCACCATGTAGACATGTCAATGTATTGACTAGT